AAGGACTGATATTACATAACAGTTCAGTACTCTTTTCTTTGTTTCTAACTGTTGTGGCCTGTTTAGGGGGCCACAAAGAAAGACACGGAAGACGAACGTAGGTTGAAAAAGTATAATGAAGATATATACAAAACAATAGTGTTAGTAATAAGTAGATTAACACTGCCTCTACTACTCCACTCCACTTCACATGCTTTGCTCCCGTCCAACTCTCGCAGTTTGTATTTATGAGAGAAGGAAGAGTTCATTATACTGTAAGAGGGTTTACCACAACTCTAACAAAGTTTTTCAGAGAGTTCAGTATTTGTTTATTATGTATATTTACTAAGTGTATCTTAAAAAGGCACAAAATCAGATGGAGCTAAGAAGACTGTTTGGCATCATTTTTTAAGTTGGGATGGCTTGATATGTTTATTTGTCTTGAATTGAAATTAGGGCATATAAATGGGTTTCAAAATGAACTACTGGGGCCCAAATCAAATATATAACTGTGCAAAGCAAGCTACAATAGTTTATTATTTAGGAAAGACAATGTCAGAATGTAAAGAAAGTAGAATTAGCAAGCTGAGTGCAAATTCTAGTTTAGTCTGTTGCATTCACTTTCACACTGACACCCTTGTAAATGGCAATAAAGCCTATTGCTACTCTATTACTATTTCTAGGGAAAATGTTCTGATAAGCTACGTTCCTTAGTCCCACCAATTCTGACAGTCAAAGCTAAGAACCTGTCATGCCATGTACACTGGAATGAATCATCTTCATTCTCTTCATATTCCATTAGTAAGAAAGAAGTTATTCTTCCCAAGAACTGGGGAGAAAAAAACTTCTGAGAGGATTTTTTCCTGATCACTTCAATCTTAACCTTTTCAAGTCTAAGGTCAACCATTATCTGACCTACCTATCCCCATAAACTACATTTCTTACCTCCTCCTCCTCTTACCTCATATAACAAAATTATTCAGTAACTCTTTATCTTGAGTGGCTCTTGGGCCTTGTACTGGGTAAACATTAGTAAAAAAAATCTCTTCTCATCAGCTATGAGTTAGATATCAAGTAGATTATGCTTTCTAGCCTTAAGTGACAACCTGTCTAGGAGAAGGAAAACTCTAAATTTCAAACTGTGGTGAAGATAATAGGAAACCACTTCCCAATGTTTCCCAAGAAGGTATAGCAATTCAAAAGTAATAAAGAAAAGGAAATTGTGAAGAGTCATGATAGCCAACATGGCAATTTTTTTTAATGTTAGTTTTCACCGTACCATAAGAAAATAATACAGAAATCTGGAAGCATTTTCTGTTTTTCTCTTTTTGTTTTTTTTCCTTTAAAAATGACTGAATGAGGGAATACAATCACAATGTTTTACTAATTCATCTGTTATTGGTAAATTGTTTTTGAATTAACATTCAATTCACTTAAGATGCCTCTTCATTTGTAAATCATATGTCTGCCTCTGGTTGGTGTGAAACTGACTCAAAAAGAACGATTGCACATCACAGTAATTGAGATTGCTGAGTAAAAACCACAGCATAATCCCTCCCTCATAATAAAGTATCCAAATAAAAAAAAAAGATATGAAGGAGAAAATTATTGCTGGAAGAATGGGAGAGAAAGAATAGTCAAGTCACTCTGTCTTTTCTGTTATTATTTCTCTTTAGTCTTCAAAATGTTCAACTCATTTTTCTTCTGTTTTACTCCATATTCCAGATTTTGATTTAATTTCTTCATCACAAAACAATGATTGACACGACTATATCAATTCAATCTGATCATCTCAGAAAATCAAAATACAATAATCCCATTGTTTTTCCAACCATTTTTATTGCTTTTTCATACAGATAATTGTTGTTACTGATTTTAGCATCCAAATATAATATTACAGTAAGTTTCATTATCAAATGTAATCATTGGAATATTATGCTCTTCATAAAATCCATAGACACTTGTCTTGCAAGGGAAAAATGAAAAATCAGTAAAACTGAGAAAACTAGAGATTGTTACAATTATACTGGAAAATCTAAGTAATTCTATACCAAAATTATATTGTGTAAGCTCAAAATACTTGCACAGTAAATATTAATATTAGTGTGGTACTGTTAGATAGCAGAAAGATATTAAATCAAAAATTGCAGGTAAATGTGTTCAAATTTGGTTATAGATATTTGGCTGGTATTTAAAAAGATAAAAACTATATTTTTCAGATTGAATTGTAAACAAGAACTGTATTATTATTTTTATTACTACAACAGAGTGAGAAAGCAGCAACAAGTGATGCTGGAGTCCAAATATACGAAGCCCGATATACCTAGTTTGATAATGGTCTTCCAATTGAGTGCATTTACATATATCTAGATGTGATTCCTAAGTCAGACTAGCTGTCTCATCCTTCAAAATTAGGGAAAAAATCGCCATCATCATCATCATCATCATTATTATTATTATTATTTGACTGAGACCCTAGATAAGTGTATAGCAGCCAGATGTATCGCATTCAAATGTGTGATGTGGTGACAGGTTTTTATAAAAGCAACACATAACCTTGCAGGTAGGACCCAGTTAGAAATACCTTCAGAGTATCCTAAGTTACTTTGGTTGCCTTATCATTCAAATTTAAAATAAATCCAGCTTTGTTTTATTTTAAATTTGAATGTTTCTCCTCTACTATTACTGCTCAGGAACAGAGATGCATGATATGTCAGTCATTTGTGGATATGCCCAACTGATTATGGTTAGGCATATGGGCCCATGGTCAAGTGGTTATTCTCATTCTGACCATGAGACATGGGTTCGAATCTCACCATGGTCAATATGTCAGGAAGGCGACTTCCTGATGTTAACGGACAGGAGGGGTCAACCCCATCATGCAGCACCTTTGGAAAGTGCCTGAAAACCATACCACAGGTTGACCCAAGCCGTGTGAGTGAAATTGGGCAGACGGAACCCTTGGGTGCCATCAATAGCTGTGCTAGTACGAAGTCACAAGTCATCATGACCACAGGATTCAGCATGCTGACCTTGTTCAAATTGTAGATCATGCTAGATAACCCACTTTCCAGGAAATTGTAACTAAGGTCTGCTCAGCATAGTTGCAGTCTAAACAACAGGTGGGCTCTGTGGGTGTTGAATAAACACAAATATGCCTGAGCAAGAGTCTGCAGTATGGTTTGCCTAGCTGCCCTAGTTGACAGGTATCCTCGAATACAAGTGGCCAGCTATACTACTACTACCATAGTTAGGCAACTAACAAGCAGATATGTCGAACTGAGCAGGATTTTTATTATAGTACGTCTTAATTACCAAGTCAAAACATGTACATGTTATTACCTTCAATCAATTAAGATCAGTAGCCATGAGAGCCAATACCTTGTGTGGCATCAAGACATTATTATTATTATTATTATTATTATTATTATTATATCATAAGAATTCTAAGTAGAAGTTTATGAAGCTTTAGTGTTGAAAAACGTTTATTTTATTGTGAAGGATGGTTACAAGTGAGAGAGTAGATGGGATGTGCTTATTTTATTGCCACTATTATCATCATCATCATTATTATTGTTATTCTTCTTCTCCACCATTATTTCAGATACAGAAATACCCTTGGGAAAGGTATGAATCTATCTACTCCCCCAGCTATGGATTACATAGTAAAACTTGTATCTGGAAAACTCATTGTCATTCTCAAAAGAACAGTTAATGCAATATTCACTTGCAAAAAAAGAATTTTTCTTAAAATCCAAAAATATGTTTCAGCTTTAAATAAAGGTTGATAAACCATAAAAAAGTTCAATCAATATCTGAAGGCAGATCTTATGGTGTAATTTAACAAACTAGAGCATGGGTCCTGTCATTTCTTGATCTCTATACATCAACAAAATCCTCAGTATTCTGGTTGTTCCAAGTAGTGATTTGTTTTCTGTAGAATCTCATTTGAAGTCACAGTCCAGATTTTAACCAGCCATTTTTTTAAATTTATCTCTGTAAACTATTCTAAGGGCACTAACAACAACAGGAACAACTTCTACAACAAGTGTACCATCTTGTGTCTCAAATCTTGATCCTCCTTCACCTTTGAGTTCTGAACTATACTTATGTTTCCTGGTACCACTATATCAACGATCCGACATTGTCTTCCTTCTGGAAAGTGATGATGTCTGATCATCTTGCTTCAATTACATTATCACATTGCATGGTGAAGTGTCTGAGTTGCTTTCTTTTTAATTTGGTTTATCAATATAATCTTTTATTAGTCATATAGATGGTCTCTACCTTGTACTTGAATTGAATTATGTTCAACTCATTTACTGAAAGCTCCCTATTAATAAAATATTGATTGTTAATGATGAAAATCTTGGTTAACAATCAAACTGTACTAGCACTTCAGTCATTTTCTCAACAACATGATGTGGCTTCCCTCTGTCTTTTCTACAAATATTTCCATGGCAACCATTCTGAGAAGCTTTTTTTCCCTGGTGCCCCAATTACATGAAATTAAGCATGCTACTAGATTGGCATCTAGGTCTCCCCATTTTACTGTTGAACTAGCTAGATACAACCATCACTTCTACTCTAACAGTTTCTTTTCTCACACTTCCCACCTGTGGAACTCCCTTTTGATTTCTTGTTTCCCTGACAACTACAATCTTAAAAAAGTTAAATGCAATCTTTTGTCTTTTTGAACTCTGTTCCTTTTTTGTCCTTTCCCTAATCCTCCCGACTTAAATCTTCTCAACCTGTTTCACTCCCTGTAACCCCCTCCCCCCGCATTATAATGGCACTTTACCTTTCTTGGGGTGAAAAGATTTAAAAAAAAAATTACTTTTTTAGTGTCTCTGTTTAGAGACAAAGTACTACCAAAAAGCTTAGAATATTTAACCAGAAAAAAAATTTCAAATATACTAAATAGTTTCCACCATTTCCTTCAAAATAGTCTACTTTGTTATGTAGAAAGTGATCTTTTAAAGAGTATTGCTTTAAAAAAATGTGAATAATATTCAGTTGGCTTATGACCATATCACATTGAAACACCAGTTCTCATATGATCACCAAAGTTAAGCAATGCCGATCCTGGTCAGTACCTAGATGGCACACCACTTGCAAATACTAGGTGATGTAAGCTTGGGTGTGGGTGGTGTAATGGATAACTGCTTAGAATTTGAGTTTGGAGAGCCAAGTTCCAATTTTAGTCATGTTTGTTTTATTCACTTGCTCACAAAAACCCTTGAGAAGTGTATGGAGCTACCTCTTCTCCCCCTGCTATGGGTTAATTAATAGGACTTATACCAGTAAATCATTGTTATCTCACCAAAATTCTTAAAATCTAAAAATATTTTCTGACTTTAAATAACCTACAAGAGGTTGATAATCCATAAAAAAACAAATCAATAAATACATTCATTATTCAAATGTTCAAATTTCCCTAAGATTTTGATATTGTAACAAAAACCTCATCCTTCCAAATAGAATACAGAAACGGTTTTGAATTTACTCAAAAAAAGAAATAAAATGCCTCAATTTGAAAGTAAATATTAATTTTCTAGAAAAGTATAAACATATTAATATTGTGATTTTTATTTGCATTACTTCCATTAGGACTATTGTCTACATCTTTATTGCTATTATCATAACATTTCAATTCTTGTGTCCCCTGGCCTTCATCTGGAGCTTGTCGATCCAGATAATCTTCAAGGAATTTTGAACTAAATCCTTTATTTAATCTACTATTCTCATTCTACTCTCTATCTCTAGGAACAATATCTTAGTGGATTAAAGTGTTGGTTTATGAAATTAGTGACATAACTGTGAGTTCAAACCCTGTACCAGGTAATGTAGGCTTAGATGCAGTAGAAACAGAGAAAGCAGTAATTGAGAAGTACTAAAGAAGAATAAGACAATATATGCCTAGACATGGTCAGCAGAATGAGAAAAATCTACACCCACAGATTAAATAAAGTGTTCAGTTCAAATTTCCCTACAGTCTCAGATTGAAAAACACCTGAAGAAGATCAGAGACGCAACAACTGAAATATTGAAATAGTAAAAAATAAAGATAAGGACAATAGTCTGAATGCAAATAATTTAAATAATAACTCCTCATACCAGAAATTCAACAAAAATGGTAGTTTTTATCCTATCTTGAATTTTAGCCAAAAAATTGCTTGACCTCTGTCAAACATACAAACAATTTATTCACCTAAAATACATTTCTCCCCAATATGTGGAATCATTCTTAAAAATATTGACCCACCCTAATATATGCATATATGGGCTGGGGAGAAACTGATCAATATTGAAGATAGAGAGCTTTTGCAGATATAAAGAGTGTAGATTTGAGCTGCCAATGACCATGGAAGGCTGATTTCTATGTCCACACTGTTTAGATAGATAGATAGATAGATAGATAGATAGATAGATAGATAGATAGATAGATAGATGAGTGGATCAATAAATAAATAGCTTGACACACAAATTTTAATCTGAAATTTTGAGTTTAAATTTTATTCTATGGAATTAATAGCGACTCTTGAATTAAGTGTGGGCACTTCAACATGGTGTAATGGTTCACAATCTTGTCTCACTAGAGCAATTATGACTGAGTAGGGAGTTTGATTCTCACTGATTACTTCATACTTTTAGCCTAGTGCCATATCTAAGCTTCCCTTAGTAAATTATCACTATGGAATTTTGTTGAAAAATAAACAATTGGTGTATAAAATAAATGGTTGTTTTATCATTAAGCTATAGACTTATTGATGTGCTGATCTGTCCCTCTCTCTCATTCTCTCTCTTTATATATATATATAGCTGGGATAACAATATATAAACTTTTATATATCAAGAAGATTTTTGAAAGAAAAGATGTATAACAAATTTGAAAAATGTCTGATGACATACTAACAGATAAAACACGTCACATAAACATTTTTCTAATTTGTCATACATCATACATCTTTTCTTTCAAATATATATATGTGTGTGTGTGTGTGTATATATATATATATATATATATATATATATCCTATACATGTGCACATACACCACAAGAATAAAAGCAACCTAACATCAATAAAAAAAGCACATAAACTATTTTTTTAATTTAATATAAAAATAACGAAAAAACAAGAAAATTGGCAGATATTTGCTGATATCTCCTGATGAGTGGACCAAACAATTACACAAAGTTTCATCTACAAAACTCTTGGAAGAGAGATGCTGAATAATATAGCATCAATCATCTAAGTGACAAATTTTATATTTGTATTAATCTATATATATATATATATATATATATATATATATATATATATATATATATATATACATACATGCATATATATATATATATATATATATATATATATATACATACATACATATATATCTATCTATATATATATATATATATATATATATATATATATATATATATATATATATATATATAGTGCTTGTATAGACCCACTTAGATACATGCTGCTAATATAATATCTTGTCTGAACAATTAATAAATCCTATTTGATACATAAACAATGAGTAAGAGGTAGATTGAATGGATCATCATAATACCTTCCATCTAGAAAAACTATTGATAACAATGGCTTCTATAAGAGAAAACAGTGATGCACACAATGCAACCAAAGGAAAAAGAGAACTTTGCACTGAGATATTTTTCCCAAGCCTGACACTCAACAAAGAATGGTGCTGTATGTTTTGTAAAAAGCCTCAAACCAGTTTGTCTGAGAAAAGTGCTCAATGGTTATATTTATTTTTGATTTGAACATTACAGCTAAAATTCTTCAGTTATATAATATACTTCTTTTGTTTTTTAACCAGGGAATAGCATTCCCATTTCAAAGGCAGGGATCAATTAAATGAAACTGGGGGGTATTGTCACCTTAGAAAAAAGATATACAGTGAGAGAAAACCAGGTTGGTAAATTGAGCTCGCAAAGTGGCCTACGTTTGAAAGCCCACTCAACTTTCCTAAGCTAACATACCTAACTATAAACATTTTTACAAGTTAAAAGAAAATACTTAAATTCAAAACCTTCAATTATTTAAATAATTTTAATACATAAATTCATTTCTCAAAGTAAAATAATATAAATAATAATTACATTATAAAAAAAATATTCAACATATGACATTTATTCACTTTTGTTTATTAGACATGAAATTATATTACTTAGCATCCTCAATAATTTACCTTGGCTTTTTAGCCTGAAGTATATTGATAAGCATTCTTAATATTGAAAATTCAGAAAAACTAACATTTTTAGTTCTCTGTCTAAATTATTATAGCGGCATGCTGTTATTTTTGTTTCAGCAAACAAACTCTTTCAATTTAACCTTAAACAGTTTGTTTGAGTTTATTAATTCTGCACATCATTTCAGAGACATTTTACATTGGTTATCCAAAACCAATACTATTTCTTTCCTGTTTGTACTTTTATTATGACCAATTACATTATACTTCATAAGCTAGAGATATTTTTATGACTTGCATTTATAACCAGAAGTAATATCAAAACCCTATGCCATAAAACCAGCAGGACTGGAGTGGGGGAGAAAATGGTGATTGGGTAGTATCCAGAACAGTGACCACCAGCAACCAACTGACTCTTGCCGATCATGTCTTCTACCAATCCACTCAGCAATTAGGTTTCACTCCCTGCTGCCCATCATCTCACAGATCACCATGTTTTAAGCGCCTACCCTCGGCTAAGACTCCCTACTCGTACCAGCTTGTATACTGACTGTATATCAACCTTCACTGACTGTCTACAATCCTTCAAGACCTTGCAAGCATTTGTCTTCATCTTCTGGTTACCAACAACTGTCTGACCTGGGCTACTACTGCCAGCTAGTACCAACCCAAATCACCAACTGTTTCTCACCAGTCAAGTTGCTCCAGTCCTCATCAACTGTTGATGCATCTAAGACCAACAGCTAACTACCAGCACAAGCACCCAGGGTATTTAAAACACCTAGGTTCTTTGATTGTATTTCCTTTCTTCTGCCAATAATAAATTTTGGCATATTTTATCTAAACTCCTTGTTCTCGTTATCCTTGCTATGGCCTGCATCAGTTCTTCAATTTTAATATTTGCAGGGTCCGTTTAACATTGAGATTCAGACATAATTATTTATAAACTTATCTATAACCAGAAGTAGCATCAAAACCCTCCATTGTTGTATCACTCTTATGCCATAAAACCAGCAACAACCTGCTCCTATCTGAGGAGCAGGTCCTCTTCCCCCTCACTACTTGGACAAAATTCTTGAATGTTCCATAGTGTAGTGTAAGACTAGCTAAGACAAGCTATGACTAACTAAGACAAAAAATTGACCAGTGGCCCAAGAGGAGACACTTGGATTCCCCATGTTAAAACAAACTGACCTTGTGTCACATCCTGACTCAGTGGGCTGACAAAAGTAAATACTGATGGGAAAGGAAGAAAAATCTGGGGTGGAGAAGATGCTGTTGTAGTGCCAGGGCCTTCCTCCACTGCTTTTGACAGTATCCTCAGATTTTTTTTCCATAGCATGGTTTTAGACTGGCTATGATGAGCTAAGACAAGAAATTGACCAATGGAGACACTTGGGTTCCCCATGTCAAAACAAATTGACAGTGTCACATCCTGACTCAGTGGGGAGTCACAAATAGTAAATACATGAAAAGCACAATGCTTTCTAAGTATATGTGGGAAATTAAAAACAAAACACAAATCACACCAAAAATATCATGAAAAATAAGGAAAAGAACATCAGCCTACAACAATCAATTCAAAAACTGCAAACTTTGCTTGGAGGAAAAAATAGCTATTATTACCTTCCCAGACTAAAACAAACTACTAAATAAATGATCAGAACTCATCTAAAAAAAAAAATCAAAAACTGAAAAAAATAGATAAAGTAAAATAAATAAGAATAAAACAAGTAAAATAAACTAATCCAAGTAAATAATAAACAAATTAACAAATCACACCCACCATAATAACTGTTAGAATAGACTGCAAAGAATAAATAAAAATAAAAAATAAATAAGGAAAAACAAGTAAAAATAATCCAAACAAATAAATAATAAACAAGTTAACAAACCACTCCTGTCAAAATAACCATTAGTGTAAACTACAACAATCAATCTGAAAATTGGAGAAAAAGTAGCTATAATTACCTTCCCAGACCAAAACAAACTACTAAATAAATGATTAGAGCTCATCTCAAAACTTTTTACTACATTACTTAAAAATCGAAAAACCAAAAGGCTAAATAAAAATATATGAAATGAAAATAAATAAGAAAAAACAAGTAAAATAAATTAATCCAAATACATAAATAAATATATAAATAAACAAATTAACAAATCATTTCCGCCAAAGTAAACATTAGAATAGACTACCCACAATGCAACACTGATCTGTATATATATAGTCGTGAAAAAACTGAACACATGTGACCTGATGATTGTGTTTAGCATGAAACAGTCTGTCACCTCTGAGTGTTGACTTTAATCTTCACTTTTTTTATATATATATATATATATATATATATATATATATATATATATATACACACACACACATACATATATATATATACATATAGTTTTTACACCAAAGTATTTGGCCTATAGAATTCATTTGCTTTTTATTAATTATTCAGAATTTGATTCAACAAACTTTATCTACTCAATTTGCATTAGTAAAAACATTTTATAATGTGAATCGATATTTAATAAGAGAGAACTGATATTAATTTCCCCAATTAAAATTATCACTTTTGCATAAGTATTCACCCTCCCTGAGTGAAAAAAAATAAACTAGAAACTGAGTGATTTGTATATCTCCCCATTAGCACTTTAGAAAACCTATATAAATTTATATTATTGTTGAAGCTTGAATAAGCATGGAATAATAATAATACAACACAAAATGTACGTAACAAAATGTATTGAAACAATGAAAAAAGGTACACAATATTTACAGGTAGTTTTGGTATATTCTTGGGAAGACTGTTCCTGCAGAATGGGTTGACTAAGTCGCAGTCGGGCAGAGTCTCTGGATTCGATCTCTTAATCTTCCGTCGTCTTCCGGTACCAACCCATATTTATATGGTCGGTACTCCACTTATGTAAATTAGGTGTATCATACACAACAATTATAAACTGAATATTTTTTAAATTAATATAAACCAAAGAACACACCAAAGATCTGAAACAGAAATTTATTGAGACGTGTATCAATGTGAGGAAAAGTTGTGAGAAAGTTTCCAAGCTGTTTGATATAATCTGTTCCACTGCCTCTTGTCTGTCAATCATAAATGGAAAAGGAATTGGTAATGAATCAATTCCTTTTCCAGCTCAAGTCATTCAAGGAATATCTCAACATAAGTGATGACTAAAATCATGAAAGAAGTTTCAGTCAATCTGAAATCGAGCATGAAGGATATCCAGGATAAAATCATAATATAAAATCATTTGCCCCACCCATTGGTATTTGGTAAATCTGAATAAAGATGGAACAGATGTACAAGTCTCACCAATTTGTAGAACATTGAACCGAAAAAGAATTCAGACAGATTGCACAAAAATTCCAATATGGAATAAGACACATAATATCTCTTAGAATTTTCTGAAAAGTTTTGGGATTAGTTGAATGATTACTTGAATACTGTTATTTGGTCTTCTTCTTTAATATGCTGTGAACCTTTAGGATGTGAACAATCATATCTCTCCACCACCTTATATACCTTGTAGCTTTGAGCAATATTTTTCCTATTGCCAAGCCTCCAGACTCCTATTCCACCAAACATTCCCACAAGCTTGTCAGGTAGGTGACCCACTGCCTTGCCCTGTCTGTTTTGCCTTTGATATATCATGTGAGTGTTAAATTCTCCAATCCCTCTTTGAAACAATAGTTTAACAGTTGAGACATAACTAGCAATGTTATGCCTGGAGAAATACAAAGAATACAGTACATGGTGTAAAAGTGAAATTTCATCATGTGGGCGAAACAGGATTTTATAGGATTGCTTATGTATAGCAGATACCAGGCAGCAAGATAACCTATTATATCTTATTATCTGTGATCATAACTGTTGTGACCTTATTAGGGCCAGAAATAAAGACATAAAGAGAGAAATTGAGTTAAACAAATATATTAACAGAAACAGTAATACAAACATATGCAAACAAGAGTGTTTCAGCAAGAATGTTTGGCCTGACTGTGAGAGCTGACTGCTGGAAACTTCCCTCTCCAAAAGGCAGTACCTGCTCCTATTTATAGCTGGGAGAGTTCATGTGTATGTGGGTAAATTACCATAACAATAATATTAACAACATATGTTGTGCAGATAGCACTGTGTTGATGATAGTTTGAGAATGAAAAACCAAAAGGATTATTAAACACAGTAGCAAAGGAAAGCAAGAAGAGAAAGAAACCATTAGTTGTAAGAAGACAGAATAGATGGTT